TGATGCAATGTCTGACATCTACCATGAAAGATGTATAAGTAGGGGATGATCAGTTTCATGGCCTGCATGTCCCCCTGACCTCAATCCTTTGGCTTTTTATCTGTGGGGCCACCTAAAATAAAAATTGGTTTATACAGCAGATATTAATAATGCAGCGATGCTCCATCAATGCAAAACCATTTGACACTGTGTACGAGTATTTGAAAGAGTCTGTCAGTCAATGATCCAATAGGTGCATGCATGTGGAGGATATTTTCAACATTTGTTATGAGTTACTGTGTTGAAGTACAATGATGGCCTTTTGAACATATGTTTATATGGACATTTTATCTTGTTTTGGTATAAGAAACTCACCTCCAAAGTTTGTAAAAGTATTTTTGATACACTGTGTGTGCACATACATACATACATACATACACACACACACACACATATATATATATATATATATATATATATATATATATAAACACACACACACACACATGGGATACTTCAAAAGAATGCTTCCTATTTATTCCCATGGAATCAACAACAGATACAAGAAGCACTGTGACACTACAGCTGAAGCATATGACCTAACCCACTTCTCAAACTGCTCACATGCATTATTTGGTCTCCATAAACATTCAGTGAATGTCAGTAGGTGCAGTTTTTCTGCAAGAAAAATATCTTATGATGTAACTCTGTCTTGTTCAAATTCCCATGTCGGATACCATTTTGCCAAACTCCCACTCAGCTGCAATCTGTAACAAGGCAAAAACTATTAGATTATTATTTATCAACCTCTGTTGCCATTCTGCAAACACTTGCTTTTGATATCATGGTTCAACGTAATAAACTGGGAGGCATTACTTTTGGAGAAACCCTAAAATATATACTTAAAAACAGCAAGAATTCAGTGAAACATCTTTTATTAAAATCAACTGAAAAGGTCTGTCGGTCTAATTTTTTTATCACATTTTCAGTTTGTGTATAAATTGTTGCATATCCAGAAGAAATTTATCGAGAAACTATCCAAAGCTAAACCATTTTTATTCATTATCTGGAATGTTAATGCTAACAGTGTCATAGAGAAATGTTTTTATTATCTTCATCCTGGCATTTTTGGAAAGTTATATTTCTAATATAAATCCTTACATGTATTATATACAAGTGATGCCATGCATAGAATAGTTGTTTAAGAGAAATGAGTGCATTAAGAAGTCACGAGACTTGAAAATGCTTCACAATAAACATATTAAATATCTTAACATGGGGAAACTATAATAAAAAAATAAATTAAACACAGGCCTTGTTTGATTTTAATAAATTGGTTGAATAAATATAATGTGATGACTTGTCATATTTCCTGCCATCTAGTGCACATTTTTTATCCAAAATATTGCCTCAAGAATAACACTGTGCCTTATATCATGAAGGTCATCATTTGGAATTGGCTTACAGATTAAGGTGGACTGCTACCCACATATCCCATGATGCCTCATTCTCTAAAAATGTTGATTTTTTTTTTTTTTTTTTTTTATGTGCGTGTGTTTGTTGAAATGTTTGTAGGGGGGGTTTATGTGAAATATGTCTGTTTAAATGTGTGTGTGTGTCTGATATTGTATTTCACTTTTCTTACTGGTGTACATTCTTTGTCTGCAACCCCACCCATTTTTTATACTTAAAATCCAACTTGAACATAAATAATCTTTAAGCTTAGCAAAAAGTTCAACTGTATCAAGATTTATATTTTTTACATAAAAATTGCAGAAATAGTTAATTTTTCTCCTTAAATTTTCAGCTGTAATTTTGCAAGATTATACTTGCATTTATCAAACTGTTTAATCATTAATAGTTTTCTCATTATTTTATAAATAAGTTGCTTAGCTAATCTTCTTGAGTGTTAACTTAAAGATTTTCTCCTTATATTTGGTATTAAAATTTATTTGCATTTTAAAACTTGTATCATCATTCTGAACCGACCATTTCTAATCGTATTTCAATATTTTATTTTACTTTATTTTTTGGGTAGTTTCTCATCCCTTTTTATATTTCCTTCAAGTTTTTTGAAGGCAAATTTTCTTGGTTTTGCATTCCCCCATTTTTCTTGAACCACTTTAATGATTTGAATTTCACTGTTAAAACCATAGTTATGTTAATGAATCTTGAATTTTTTTCTTTTTTCATACATTTATATGTTCACATCAGTATTACTACAAGATGCTACAAAAATGACAGGGTTGATTTTTTTTTTGAAAGCCCAGTGTTAGTAAATTTTGAAGTTCAGCATTTGTGACTTTTTGGACCATTTCTAAAATAAGATTGGCTTACTCATGAGAAGGAAGTCAGTTCTAAATTAGTAGAACTGAGCCTTCAAATGTCACCTGATTTGCTACTTGTAGCTCAGTTTAGCAACTCCAATTTCAAACTTGGGAGGAAAGCTTACTTTATGACCAACAAAATGTGATAAAATATTTGACAATGAAATTAAAAATTGTAATTATATTATTAATGTGGATTTCTTTGATTCAATTTCTATTTTATACATGTAAATATAAGATATAAAATATTTTGTTTAGAGGCAATTTTTAAGAACTGAAAACTTGCCAGCTAAATTTTGCTTTATGTATGTAAGAAAATAAATACCTACCAAGAGCTGAAACTTTCCTCACATAAAGAATGTCAACATGACCTTGGAAATATTAGTTTGCTTGAACAAGTTTTTATTCTTTTTCTTTTTTTTTTTTTTCATTTTTATTTTAATATATTAAATTCATTGGCCTATTAGTTTTAATTCAATATTCTTATTTTTTACTGAAATTCTTTTGTGTTAATATACTCATCTTTGTTATATATATAACAAGATTTTGACTCACGTCTTCAACTCTCTTCATATGGATAAATCAAAGACTTTGTTTGGAGGTTACAACAAAAAACATAGCTTTTTACACTATTAATCAAAGTTTGTATGTTCAGTTCCTTGTTAGTTCCTTTTCTGCAGGTATTTGAAAGATCTCTTGGTGACAACTATTAAAGATATGGAAGAACTGTTTGACAGAACAAAATTCCCATATATTGCTGCACAGATGACTTTCATGAATTCATCTCGAAATATATTTATTCAGTTTTAATGCAAGAAATATATTGGAATAAAACACCTATTTTTTTTTCTTTTTTATTTTTGGAAGTGAAATTGCATTAAGCACAAATGTAGAAATTTGATAATTTTTTTTTTGTTCTTTTTTTTTTTTTTTTTTTTGTATCAGTTAAACAACAGCTCTGTACAGTGGATCCATTTTCATTTCTCTTTTATAAATGTCCAACTGGTTTATACAACAGTTTTTGCTTGATTAGATTTACTTTTAAAAAGTTGACTTAAGTATAAACCTGACATATTCTGTGTCAATATCTGTACTGATTTTAAATTGTAAGACACTCAAATAAAAATGTGTTAGGCTGGAAAATGAGATGAGCTGAAAATGAAATTGTTAGAACTGGAAAAGTGATATCTACAATTTTATCCTCACACATACTTGCAAGAATCAAACTTTAGCAACATTATCCTAGTTCAGAATTTAACATTAAAAATGATTTTAAAAGAAAAAAAATCTGGAAAGTCCAAGGAAAATAAGAAAACAAAATTATTGAATTGGTGAAAGTGGTAATGTTAAAAATAGAATTAGTTATTTTAGTTAAATTACCCAATGTTAGTCAAATTACCAAACATCCCTGATAGATAGATTTTTTTTTATGAAAATGAAGGTTACATAGTTCATTAAAAAAATAGGACATTCAACTTTTTTACATAACCGAAATACAGGGTCACATTATAGTTGAGATCACATCTGCCAAAACATATGGCAAAAATCTGGCTTCAAATCACATGAGCTCTTCTCGGTTCGTAGGTAATCAGTTTAGAACTTATAAACCTTTTTGACACTGATAAATATCAACTCTATAATAACATTCTAGAATTTGAGATGTGTAAGGATAATAACCTAAAAGCAATTTCAGGTAAATACCAATTGAAATGTTTTTATAAAAATAACAGTAATTCATTGTTATCTCTTACTAGTTTGCTTACTTGCCATTTTGCTGATGGCAAGATGATGAAATTCTAAATCTAAATTGTTTGTTGTCTGTTTAAAATAATACATTTATTAGGAACTATATTCAGTTTCAATACAAATGAGATCATAAAAATGTCTTTAATGGACTGCAAATAATTAATGATAAGATATTAAGTCTATCTCACTGTAGGTAAGAAAAAGAAAAGCTGATTACTTTTTTTTAATCTCATTTCACAGCCGTATACACATGTAAACAAAGGTGGTGGACATGAAGCTGTTAAATTTTTCTTTTCATTTATTTTTTTTTCTTGTTTCCAACTTTGATTGCCCAGTCTGGGGTAGGGGTTGTCTAAACTGAATGGCAGGGCAATGTATTATTTCAGACTCTGTCAAATTGTGTGTGTGCATGCATGCACTTGTTTGTACATTAAATTACACATGTAAGTCACTTATGAAGTTTCACACATAGACAGTGTATGATCTACAGAGGATCAACTCTTTTCTAATATATATTTCTTATCTATTAGCTCTCTTATGTATAATTGCAGAAGATTAGGGTTAGCCTCTGACTCGGACAGAGGAGGAAAAACTGTTTCCTTTGCATCTGACTAGGAAATAAACTTTTTTTTTTTTCTTTTTTCTTAATAGACTGTAATTCTGTCCAATCCTATTTTGTTTTAAAAGTAGGAATCCTATTATAATTGGGTGGCAGATAACAAAAAAAAAAAATTTAAAAAATACCAAAATAATAAGAATAAGGATATGAGGGAAATGAGTTGAAAATTTGATCAGTTAATCTGCTTGCATAGAATGTGAAATCTCCAAAACAAAATTCAGATTAAAAATACTTTTATTTGATGTTTTTGCTTCCATGTTTTTCCAAACAAGGACTTTTTCCTTTTTCCTTGCTAATTCTTTTTTTCTTCCTTGTTACTTCTCTTGAAGAATGGAACTATCAGTGATCTCCGCCAGTCTATTGGTGATATCTTCTTCTCTTGGACTGGTTCCAAAATGGTGTGGTATGTTCCACCCACACCACCATCCAAAAATCCGGTTGGTAGTGCTTTATTCTTCTGTTTGTGTTTTTCTTTTTTTTACCTACCATTTCCTGTTCCTTTCTGACTCTTTCATCAGAATTTTAAAAAATATATTTTTGAGGCTTTTATCACTATGGCACTTTTTCCTTGACTTGTCACTTGTCTGATTAATGGCTGACTTCCATCTTTAGGTTAACATTTGCTTTAGTGAACAAATGCATTTTTAAAGGGAAATCTATTTTTCTTATGTACTTTCATGGCCTTTTGGTTATTTCTTCAGTAAAGTAACATGTTATGGTTTTGAATGAAATTTCAATTCCCAATAATGAGACCCTTTATATCTGTTTCTATGCAATTAGCAGGCCTTATTTTATTAGTTCATAACATTGATAATTTTAAAATCCTGATCATGAGTCCTATAAACCATCAGGGTTGTAGAGGCACCTCATGTACTACAGTCATTGCTCCAGTGTGGTTACTGGGGCAAACTAGCCTGGCAGAGCCAAGTTCTCTCCAGGCTGGTTTGAATTTAGTTTTTCTTCTCCTAGACTGGCTGCCACCCAAGGCTATACAACCCAGTTTGTCCTGCTATTTTACCCATAGCTAGGGGGAGAAGAGGTGGATCCATACCTTTCCCAAAGTTATTAGCATGTAAGTGAATGTAATGAACTTGACTGGAATTCAAATTTAGCTCTCTGATTCCTCAATCCAACCTGCTATCCATTACTTCACTATGCCTCCATTAATTTTAAAGTGTGAAAGCCTAAAAAGAACAAAAAATGATAGTTCCATTTTCTTTTCCTCTGTGACAAGAACTTAATCCGTTGTTACAGAAATAAGACAAAAACCCGTGTCACACTGTTTTCAGGAAAAAAAAGAAAATGTAATTTAATATTAAAAAAAAAATCTTTATAATCTGCTGTACTTGGAAATTACATATTTGCATTAAAACAAACAAAATAACAGGGTCTAGTCTAGTGTTCAATTTACAATGTAAACTGAATATACTGCCATAAAAATGGACAAAAATTTAAGGTCCAGTTTTACTTTTTATATAGATAGTTGTAAATCAAATCCCTGCTTCAGAGGCACTTCATTTTCTCCTACTTGGAAATTAGTTTTTTTTCCTGACATTTAAAATTTCCAAAGAAATGAAAGTCACATCTGAACAAAGCAAATCAAACTACATAAGAAAAATGCATTTTCAATCTAAAGCATGGTAGTTCACTAAACAGACACTTAACCCTTGTTCTATTTGATCAACATAGCTTAATTTTGATTCTGGCCTTTTTTCTTCTACTGATTGGTCTTGTCTCTTCTACTAAATATTGTTGTTGTTAATACTAGTTTCTTTCTGTTAAATTTAATTGCAGTTTTGAAACCCTAACCAATTACCTTAAAACCACTTGACCTCATTCTCTATCTTGTTCTTTTCCTTTTAAACATTTAACTGTTCATTATCATTATAATCCCATTTTGCACTAATGAAGCTCAAACTGAAATGCTAAGAAGGAAAACTTTAACAGAACAATATTCAAATTTTGATGAAAAATTCAAATATTGGACCTGAAATTATGGGATGAAGGGAACAAAATTATTCACAAGTCTGGACATTGTTCCAATGTCAGTTCTCAACATATTCAAAAGAATTACAAAATCATTGGGAACAAACAAGCAAAATTGATAAAAACCTAAGACAAAACTAGGCATAAGCAGTGGAACTTTTAACACCAGGAGAACTTTTTGATCATTAAGGCCTTCCATATTAGGTCATACCTGAGGAAGGCAAAACAATGATGTTAATCTATAATATATGGAATAATGACAAAACCAAGAAGATGATACAATCCTGAGTTTGGGAAAGAAGTATTTGAATTGACTTCTTTTTAAGATGAAGAAAAAAAAACCCAAGCAGAGAGAGAGAGAGAGAGAGAGAAATGTAATTAAATCTGAAAGAAGAACTATAATATATATATAAAAGTTACATTACAAAATGGACAAAGTCCAACAATTATTTAAGACATTTTTTATGTTTATACAGTTTTTTTTTATAGATACAAATATTTAAGTAAATACTCTGTTTATAATAAACTGTATTAAACAACATTTACCGGCCTGAATGTCTGAGAAAATGTCTTAAATAATTGTCGGACTTTGTCCATTTCATAATGTATGATGTCATTTGTTTACATTTGGATACACATTGAGCAGTTATGAATGAATAAGAGAAAATCATGGAGAATTGTATTTAAAAACAGTAAAATCAACCTTGCTAACTGAAAGCTCCCCTATGGCCCAATCGATTAAAGCACGTCAGGCTATATGACGGTTCTGATAGGATACAGGTTCGATTCATATCGGAGGATGCATATTTTCTATGAAAATTTCTCAGATATTCAAGAGTTATATATATATATATATATATATATATATATATATATATATATAAAGCTCTTCTTAATGGGGTGGGGGAACTACTTTGGTATTTTTATTAATTCTAGTCCTTAAATGATATTGATGAATTGGATTTCTGTTTTGGACATTAAGATTCCATTGCTGTGTGAATTTTTGTTAGAATATTACAAACAAGTCTTGCCCGAAATAAAGTTTAGAATTAATAATTTTCATTTTTGGAATTGAATTTTGAAAACTAGTGACTTTCATGTTATCATAGCACTGTGAATTATTGGTGTTTGTATTAACAAGTGAAAATAAAGACTGAAATCCCTCCCAGTCAAAAAAAATAAATAAATAAATAAATAAAAATGACTTTTAGCATTTTCTTTTGGCCAAATTTCTAGATGCATGCCTGACTAAATTATGACCTTTTTATATTTTCACAAAGTAATTTGATAGGCACAATCATAACATAAGATATGCACTCAGTGTTGATGGCAGACACGGAAAAAAACTGAACTCCTAGAGAAGGTAATAAAAGAAAGCTGGAAAAAAGGACTAATCATCAATTGTGAAAAGGTGGGATGGATGGCTGTCAGCAAGAGGAACACTTCAAGATGTGATCTATGAATTGGAGTTGTCAAAATTAAACAAATATATAAATTTAAATATTTGGGAAACATTTTAACAGAGGACAGAAAATGTGACACCAAAATCCAAATGTGCATTGGAATAGCAAATGATGCCTTCCAAAAGCTAAGCAAAGTATTAAGAAATAGGAAAATTTAGTTAGAAAAAAAAAAAAAAGTGTAGTGTTGCTATGTAATAGGAATTCTCCTATAGAGCAATGAATGCTGGACAATTTCTTCACAGATGAAAAGGAGACATGATGCAACAGAAATCTTGTTTCTACAGAAGACAAAAGATGCTGAGAATACCATGGATAGGGCACATGAACAATAAGGAAGTTTTAAGGAAGATGGAGACAACAAGGAAACTTGTAATCAATTGAAATTTCTGGAGTACATATAATAAGGAAGGAGAGCTTGGAGAATTTGATACTCACAGGGACAGGTTTAAGCAAGAGGTACAGAGAGGAACAGCTTGTGTAAATGGATAGCAGAACTGGAAATTGGATAGAGAGTAAAATGAGAAACCTAGATTTACAAAAGAGGGGAAGTTGTTTAGAGCCATGATCACTTGTATACAGAAGGGACATGAAATAATAATTTGATGGAGATATGCAAATTGTTGCATGTTTAATATATGTGAATGTTTTATTTACAACCTTGCATACAAATGTGGAAAGAATAATAAAAGACCAGCTGTCATAAATTCAAGTTGAAGAAACATCAAAAGATCATATCCAAAATGGAATCGGACAAGTTTGTTATAGCAGAGTGTATTAATAGAGAATGTTGCTGGAAAGTGAGAAAATTGAAATAATCAGCAAGTTAGGCCCCAATGTGGAATTCACCTTGGTCTGGAATTCTGGGCTTAGTGAAGAAAGGATTTGAGAACATTTTTGCATTGAAATTGTCAAATGAGCCACATTGCACATGTTACTGAAAATGGAATAGCCTTTATTACAAAACTTCAATGATGTGAACATTTTGCAGCTTCTGCTTTGGACTGTCTGAAGAGGCTGTTTCTTTTAATATGCATAGAACACCTGAAGAAGGAAGGCCAGTGAATAATTTGGCTGAAATGTTCTCTCTCAACAAAATGAAAAGTGAATTCAATTATCTGAACAATTCTTGGAATAAGGATTACTTGTCTCTCTCTCTTATTTATATATATATATATATATATAATTATTTTTATAAAAAAATTTATAACATAAGTATGTTATAAAATCACTAAAAAAATAGCATTTTGTTTCAACACACTCTGTGTCTTATCAAGTGATGGTGTTGAAAATAAAATAAATGGTTTTAAAAGTTTCAGATTAATTAACGATCCTACACTAGGGAGCATTGTTACAAAAGCTAGAATAACCAATCAAAAACGAAGTACAGAAAGATTCAAAAGCTTGACAACAAAATCCTGCTATTATAGCTATTTAGATCTTTAAATACGTGTAATATTAAAAATAATTTTTACTAACTAATAATTATAAATTTATATGATAAAATTTAATATTAAAATTAAAAATGTGTGTGTATAAGTGTTAGTTTCCACGTCTCCTTTTTTCGTAAAGGGCTGTGGAGTTGTTCATGTATTCCCCCCACCTCTTCCTTTTTTTTTTTTTTTTTTTTTTTTTTTGTGTGTGTATATTTGTGTGTGTGCGTGTGCGTGTGTGTATGTATCTAATTATGTCTGGATGCTTATGTATTATAATCTGATTGTGTTTTTGTTGTGTCGCGTGAGTTTAAGACCATATTCACAAACTTTAAAATAAAAACGGAAAAGAAAAAAATATATACATGTATTATCAGATGACCGGACGAATTGTAGCTTTTTGTCTTGTCAGACGTAATTTCAATGAAGAAATGAATTGAATAAACATATATTTTTTTCTTTTCTCAATAATTTTGTAGTTTTTAAACTTAATAGTGATTAAATTTGGATTTTAAAAATTGCCAGTTTTTAATTTTAATATTAAATTTTATCATATAAATTTATAATTATTAGTTAGTAAAATTATTTTTAATATTACACGTATTTAAAGATCTAAATAGCTATAATAGCAGGATTTTGTTGTCAAGCTTTTTGAATCTTTCTGTACTTCGTTTTTGATTGGTTATTCTAGCTTTTGTAACAATGCTCCCCTAGTGTAGGATCGTTAATTAATCTGAAACTTTTAAAACCATTTATTTTATTTTCAACACCATCACTTGATAAGACACAGAGTGTGTTGAAACAAAATGGTTATTTTTGTAGTGATTTTATAACATACTTATGTTATAAATTTTTTTATAAAATAATTATATCTGCTCTACTTTGTATTGAGCACTCTTTTAAGAATAGTAATTGTTGGTTATTGGAATTCATTCCGTGTATACCAATTATATACTTTGGTATATATATATATATATATATAAAATGTAATTGTCATCTTTGATAATGGCTTATGTAAGCCGAAAGCTTAAATTGGATTTAAATATGTATCAATATGGGGATTTCCTTTCATCTTTCAATGATAATGTTATTAAGCTTATCAGACAATATGAAAGGAACTTACTTAAAATAAATAGACAAAACTTGTCTATATTATTTAATGAAACATGCCTCAATGAAAAATTGCTGCCTAAATATACACAATATATATATATATATATATATATATATATATATATATATATATATATATATATATATATATATATATATATATATATATGAATGAAATCGGGCATCTGGTAATTCTTTGATACTCTCCATGTTTATTTCTAATTGCCAGGAAACCGTATACTGTCCAGATCACTTATACACTGTCACTCAACTGGGAGTGAAATCTTCAGTCTCCAAAATTTTGTTGTTTAGTACAAACAATTGTTCAATTAAGAGCAAAGATTTAGTAGTTACTAATTACAAGTCAGACACAGCATGTTTTCCAACTGTAACAATTACTGTTAGTCTTAATTACCCACTCTTTAATAACACCTGATAAGTAAACAGGTCATTGATGGTACCCCTCCCTCAACATTTTTTTTTTTTTTTTAATAGACAGCTGTTATGCATGTTGTCACTTTTTCACCTGGTGAGTTATGATATACTTACCTGTTGGTTTCACAGATTGCATTTTAGCCTCAAGGTGTTCACTTTAGAAGTAGTTGAAAACATTCAATGCTGTCATAGAAATTCATTATCATCTTAATAATATTTAGTTGCATGGAAAGCATTTTTTGTCTTCCAAGTAGAATACATTTTTGATAACACTGTTTTTCCCTTCTTTTTTTTCTTTGTTTTTCCCTTCTTTTTTTTTCTTTGTTTTTCCCTTCTTTTTTTTTCTTTGTTTTTTTTTTTTTTCTTTGTTTTTCCCTTCTTTTTTTTTCTTTTGTTTTTCCCTTTGTTTTTTTTTTTTTTTCTTTGTTTTTCCTTCTTTTTCTTTTTTTTTTTTTCTTTTTTCTTTTTTTTTTTTTTTTTTTTTTTTTTTTTTTCCTTTTTTTTTTTTTTTTTTCTTTTCCCTTTTTTCTTTTTTTTCCCTTTTTTTTTCTTTTTTCCCTTTTTTTCTTTTTTTCCCTTTTTTCTTTTTTCCCTTTTTTTTTTTTTTCCCTTTTTTTTCTTTCTTTTCCCTTTTTTCTTTCTTTTCCTTTTTTTTCTTTCTTTCCTTTTTTCTTCTTTCTTTTCCTTTTTTCTTCTTTTCTTTCCCTTTTTTCTTCTTTCCCTTTTTTTCTTCTTTTTTTTTCTTCTTTTCTTTTCCCTTTTTTCTTCTTTCTTTTCCCTTTTTTTTCTTTCTTTTCTTTTTCTTTTTTCTTCCCTTTTTTTTCTTTTTCTTTTTCCCTTTTTTCTTCTTTCTTTCCCCTTTTTTTTTTCTTTCTTTTCTTTTTCTTCTTTTTTTTCTTCTTTCTTTTCCCCTTTTTTTTCTTCTTTCTTTTCCCCTTTTTTTTCTTCTTTCTTTTCCCCTTTTTTTTCTTCTTTCTTTTCCCCTTTTTTTCTTCTTTCTTTTCCCCTTTTTTTTCTTCTTTCTTTCCTTTTTTTCTTCTTTCTTTTCCTTTTTTTTTTTCTTTTTTTTTTTTTCTTTTCCTTTTTTTCTTCTTTTTCCTTTTTTTTTCTTTTTTTTTTTCTTTTTTCCTTTTTCTTCTTTCTGAGGGAGCAATTTTTTTATTTTATTTTTTTTGTTAGACATATTTTATTTCCTGTATCTTTCCACTGCTATATGTTCTCATTAAAGGACCTTTGATTTCATTCTGATCATTATTTTCATTAAGCTGAGAATGACTACTGTATATTGAATTCTCTATGTATGTCATGTTGTCACAGGTAGGATTTTATTAAAGAAATAAAAAAAAAAATAATTTTGTTCATTTGAATCCATAAAGGGACAAATTATGTCAGTAGTGGGGCAGAGAGAAAAAAAAATTAAAATTTGTCAATTTAAGAAAAAAAAATTCTTATTTTTGAAAACTTATTAAAATTATTGCAAATTACTATGAAAACAATTTACTACAAGGCATTATTAATCATTTCTATGTAATATCATATAAGCAAAACCATAAATATCTAATAAAACAGTTTGCTTAATGGTTGAAGTAATTGGCTACTTCACTATCTTTTGCTCATGGTCAGTATTAATCCAGGTAAGAATCAGGATTTCATACACTGACTTGACACTTCTCAACTGAAATTGGTACAACACAATCTTGTATTGCATTTTATTTTTATATCTTGTATTAAATTAAATAACCAATGATATCATAGGTATGATTTATTAAACAAATGCTGAACAACATTCAACCACTGTAATAATTACATATATAGAAATTCAAAGTAGTTCATTATGTTCTGTTAGATAACTTATGCCAAATATTAACATCAGAGGTATTATACCCTGTCATGTGTACTTATTACCTATTCTCTAGTCAATTATTTACCTATTCTTTCTGCACTCACAGAACAATATATAAAACCTCATACACATACTGAGTTGTGATCATATGATAATTCTTTAATCCAATTAAAGCAATCTGTGTAAATCCTTCATAGGGCTACAAACAAGTGGAAATCGCCATGGTAGCATCTCTGCTTACATGAAATGTAATAATTTAATCAATAAATTTTTCGTTATTTTATTTCCTTAAAAATCTGTTAGCACTTTGTAGACTTTGCACCTGGAAGAAGGTTCTAGAATTAAATTGGCTGAAACACTATAACAATAAGTAATACAAAGAATGAGTTGAATTGCCATGCAATTATTGAGAATCAAATGTTTTGGCTCAATGACCCATATAAGTATTAATGTGCCCTTATATTCTTATTTTTATAAAGAACCTCTATTATTTATTTGTGCTGCATATAGCAGTTCTAAAACAATTTTCATCTGTTGGGCAAATAGTTTAATATTTAACTATTCTTTAAAAAAAAAAAGTCTTAGAAACTAGTTTAATACAATTAAAATAGATTTAATTTTTATAAAGTTTTCCTGTCTTTTAGTTAAATCAGATGAAATATTGGTTCTTAAAATTGGTTTACTTTTTTCTAATTCTTTAGGTTCAATGTCATAATGTTTCATAAATTTTGGTTGTTAAATAAACAATATCATTAACCTGGATTGAATTTTTTTTTTTTTTTTTTTTTTTTTTAAATAACCTGTTTTTTTTTTTTCTTTTTCAAAAATTTGTTTGATTCCGTTGAAGTATTTCTGTGATCCCTTTAATCCTTCTTTGGTAAAGATAGATTCTTTTTCTAAGCAATATGCTGAACTCAAAAGTCCTTAATATTTCTATTTCGGAATGCTGGTCTTGCAGTTTTGGTTCGATGCGCTATTATCTTTTCTCTCTAATCTTGAAAATGATTCTTAAGGTCAGAGATTTGTTTTTTGTTTCAATTTTTTTTTTTTTTTTTAATTACTAACTCTATCTTTACAAAGTTTTATGCCTGAAATGTCATTTATTCTAATTAATGACCATTCCCAGATTCTAATTCTGTTATTGCCAAGGATTTCTGGTTTTGTTTTTGTTCTGTTCACTCAACTATTAAGTTCTATACTTTTTATATCTGAGAAACAAAACTTAACAAGAAAATTGTTTCCTTTTCTCAGGTTTTCAATATTTTTTTCCTTTTTATCTTTGTAAAAAGAAAAAAAACTCTGAAGATTTCTTTTGTTTGTTCAAGTTTTCAAGTGAAAAATATTTCTTGAAAAGAATGGTAGTTGCAGACATAGATAAATGTACATTTCACTTTTTTTCCAAATGCTTCCCAAAATGTCTATAGGGCCTTGTTTGGATGAAGAATGGATATTCTTGGAATTCTACAGATTTTTCAGAAAATTCACAATTTGGGAATCTCTTATTTCTATTTTTGCAGATATGAAAACATTTTAATCATTTCAAATAGTATCAATCAGCTATAATTTATATTTGGTTTCTCTAGGAACAACAACAAAAAAAAAAAAATCTTCAAAATAATATTATTAAAAATTCATCAACCCCTTAATGGATTATTCCAATTATAGACAATTTTTTTATATTCTTTTCAGAACATTGAGTTAATTGAACCAAAATTAATTGGGTTTCCTGTTTCATTTTTAGAGTAAAAACTGAAATTTGATTTGACAATACCAAATTCAAAAGATTAATGCCAACAACCAGGGTTAGAATTTTAGTTATTTTGGAGCTAAATGTGAATTCTTTATGGTGGGAAACGTTCTTCTCTATTTGATTAAGAGAATTTTAGTTATACCTACATGCTTTTTATACGACAGTATTCTATATGTGTCGTTAGCATAATGGTTATAACAATAAAATGTGGAATTGGTAAGCCAGAGTTTAAATTCTCACCAAGTCAGCTGCATTCACTTTCATACCAATAGTTTTGAGAAAAGTTTGAATCTCTTGCTTCTCCCACCCATCTATGTGATAAAATAAATAGAATAAGCTTGGCTAGCATCTAGTCTAGAAAATGGAAAGTGGAGAATACAAAAGGAAACCAAATTATTTCCTTAACCAAGAAGTCCTGACAATTCACAGATAAAAAGAAAAGGAATCTGTGGTTGCCTAAAGAGAAATGGCATTAAAGAAAAAATTCTAGCTTTCGTGATTTCATCTGGCAGCTTGTATTTGTACTGTGAGATTTTGTTACAAAAATTGATTAAAAATCTTGATTCCCTTATTACATGCTTTTAATTTATAAAACAAACAAAAGATCTGATAATGGGTAATTATAAGTGTACAAGTGAAAATAAATTAAGCCAGTTATCTCCCTTGTATTTGGTAAGTCTATCACTTTTCAGAATTAAAGTTTAAGCTTAAAAACGAAGAAATGTCCTTTGGAATGTTCTGTCACTGGTTTAACATGAAATTAAAAATGGACACATTCTCAAAATGAACCTCTGACTTTATGAAAATGTTTTTAATTTCATTTTTTTTCCAATCAAAAGAAACAAGTTGCATAAAAATAGTGAAAATTATACAAAGCTTTCAATGTTGATGATACTCAAATAGAATTAATCTGAAAATGTACATTTGTTAAATGAATTTGCTAATAAGGTAAGTGAAATACTTGTTGATTGGTTTGTGGGTGTTTATTTTGTGGGATGATGATTCATTTGTGTTTATTAATTGATATAACAATTGTTTTTGAATGTGCATGTAGTTTTCTTAGTGTGGGGTTGCATTTTGTTCACTAACTACAATTAATGTGTTATACATTGTGAAATATCTGTGAAATGATTTTGCTCTTTGCAAACTTTGATATCTTTTTGCTTAAAGAAAAAAAAAGAAAAATCAATGGAAAATATATTTTGTTCAAACCCCACCCCAGAAAAGTATTAATTTCTTGTATAGAAATTATTTCTTTATATTTTGTCACAGCAACCTCCTCTCTCTTTATCTCTTTTTTTTTTTTTTTTTTTTTTAACACTGGAGAATTTTTATTATGTAACTTCAATTTATATGGGATGTGTGTGGGTAGATGCTCTGAAAGTAATGCCTCTTATTTATTTTCTCAGAAACCATAACAAATACAGGGAGTTCAATAACATCATGAGAGAGATCAATTATTTTTAACTACAAAACACTAATTATCCACAAGGTCAACAGTATTGCCTATGCCCTTTCATTTCATGGGTTGACAGCTATTAGGTGCTGTAAGAACATGGTTTGTCACAAAGCACATCTAAGTGTGCTCACATTCTTTATTTGGTCTCTGTAAACATTCAGTAAATGTTTTATGCACACTTTCATGTTAGATCCTATTTTCCCCTGACTTAAAAAAGGGATTATTGGTAGGAAGGTTCAAGCACTATTGGAGTACTAACATTGTAAGTGAAAATAATAAAATAACAGGTGAATTTCAGAATGACATTTGTAGGTATAATCACACACACACACATGCTGAGTATGACAATAAACTATATCTTCATCCTGGGTAAAATGATGAGCTGCATCCACCAGCATGGCCTCTGATCAGGAGGTTTTGAGGAGTGTGGAACCACCTCTTAATTGCTTGTGTTTCCGGGTCCACCCTGACCCGGAGTGGTAGCACCTGTTGGGGTCACTGTGAAAGTGCACAAATAGGTTTTAATACCAACAATACATTTTTGTAAAAAATTATTACCAGCAATGAATTTCTGAAAAAAAAAAAAAATATATTACATTTTTTTTTGGGGGGGGGGGATATTACCCGCAATACATTTTTTAAGAAAAAATATTGCTAATAAAAATATTGTCAGCCTTAAATAACCCATTGAGGTGGATATGCTGTAAAACAAACCACACACACACACACACACACACACACACACACACACACACATCTATTTAATATACTTTATAGAATATATACATTGTGAATGTTATTAATGTTAACTAGCCTAAATGGGAATGCATCAATATTTCTTAATTAATAAAAACTTATTTAATGTAAAATTCTACCCTTATGGAAAATTGCAACACACTGAATGTTTCGATTTACTCAAAATTATATATATATTTTGGAGTTTTAGTCTCAGAATTGGAGACTGTACCCGTCGCTATGACAGCAGGAGAGAAAGAGACGAAATCATTTCTTTTTTTCGTGACACATTCCAACACATATATATAGTGCTGGTGTTAATAAAACAGTGCTTGATGTAATACAACAGAGCTCTTAC